CTTGATCGCATCTTCAGGTGATCCGTAAAGTCAACAAGCAGCACGCCATCCTGGACGTGGACGAGCCGGTTTCTCAGCTTCATAAGTGCGCCTTCCAGTTCAGAGACGATCCACAGTCCTTCCTGTGTTTATCCAACGACGCCATCATACAGTACCAGGTGAGAGTCCTTCCTTTTCCTGCTCTCGCTGCACTCCCTCTGTTCCCCCACAAACACATAAACCTCCACCTGTCCTCCCTCCAGGCCCCGTCCAGCGTCAGAGACCCGAGCAGAGTGGTGCTGAACGACGGATCCTGTTGGACCATCATCGGGGTGGAAGTAGTGGAGTACACCTTTAACCAGGGTTTGGCGTGCATCCAGACGCCTGTTACTCCTTTCCCTGTGATCACTGGTTTAGAGGCGAGTCAAAAAGAGAAACTCTCAGACACTCTCTCTGTTTGGTTTTAAATAAAGAGGGTCTGGTTCTCTAAAGGATTCTGAAGCTAATTCACAATAGACATGCAAAGGGTTAAAAGGCGAAAACGACCTAATTGTCATTTTGAACGCTCCTTGCAGGTGAATGGTGGAGGACACGTTGCCATGCTGGAGATTGAAGGAGAAAACTTCAGCCCTCACCTTAAAGTCTGGTTCGGTAACAGCGAGGCGGAAACCATGTTCAAGTGAGTTCACAAGAGATAAAAAACTAAATGTGAAAATAGGAGATTTATGACGTTTTCAAACATCCACAAAAAATCCTGAAAGTTTCCCCAAAAATGTCAGGTGGGCTGAATGTGTGAACGCAAACTTTACCTGGACTTTATTCAGCAAACTCACCGATTAAATTTCTGCATGAAGTTGAGTCGAGCCGACAGAGATTGTCAGAACCTTATTGCTCATCATGTTAAATTTATGGATGCATGTAATACTTTTTGGTCATTGGATCTGGGAGGGGGAGGGGCTTGTGGACTTAATTGGGCTCAGTTCAGACTAGTAGAGAGTGGAGCCACACAGTCTTTTGACCTCTCTCTCCTCATCTCTCTTTTTGTATAGTTTTGGACTAACCTGTATCTGTTTTTTCTTTATTTTTGTTTAAGTAAACATTTCAACTTTGATCATTTGGTCCTGTGGATTTTTTAGAGAAAAATTATGTAAGAGAGGAGTTTTGGGAGCGTCAAGCTACGACTTCATTCAGTGGATAGCTATAGAGATAGTCTCCTGCTCTCAGGTGCATGTGTGAACAACCAGGTCAGGAGGATTTCAAGGCAAGTCAATATGAGAAGAGACTCAAGAAAAGGTTGACGGGATTTTCAGTATTTATTTCTTTAGAGCAAACAGAGCTTCAGGTGATGCATGACCATTCATCTTTAGATTCCAGAAGAAGTTATGATGTTCATGAAAAATCAAAACAACTCTCATTAGATCCATCTGGGAGCTGATGTGTGCTGAACAATGATCGAATAGAAGAACAGGAACACAGATACTAAAATACTCGACCCAGAAAGCCAAAAGGAGAGTAGAAACATAAACAGGTCTATTCACAGGCGTACAGTCGACAACAGTTGTATTTAGAATTTTATTGGCCCGCTGCGCCGCTGTCTGCTCGCCTTTATTGGCTGGTGGAGAAACGGGGGCTGTGTGGGGGGGGGGAGGGTCACAAAACGTAATGTGATGTTCACGTCTCAACCAGCTAAATCTTTTTCTATAAAACTTCTAGGTCAATCATTTTTGTCACTTTATAGCGTCAAAGTCGTCTCTTAGTCTCTTAATGGACTGGAGTGATGGATTCATTTATTTAATTGATATCAAAGTCAGCTGTTTCTGTTCCGCAGCGTTGTCGTTCTGCGTCAGATGATCTTTTGCTTTAACAATCACTTTTAGGTCTTTTTCCTGCCGATTGCTCTCGTGGTTGGTGTTTTTTTTTACCTCGGAGGCTCCAGGTGCAGAGCGGAGCGGCACGAGGGCCAAATGAAAGTTTTTAGTCTTGTTAAGGTGCGACTGTGAAGCTGGCTGCTCGTTAAATCTGACCCAAATATGAACGTTTTTATGGCACATTAAGCACCACTTCCACACCGAGCATTATGCAACCAACGCGTAATTATATTTCAGTTGACCCAGAATTTAAAAAGCTGTTATTTTTCTGTTTGTTGAGGAATTTCAATAAAAGACGACAGACATGTAGACGTGTTTGTGACGTGTACGTGGCATGTTTCAGGAACGAGGTTTCCAAATACGTTTATAAAAGTGAAGATGATAAATAACACTGGACCAAAATGAATTACATGAAAATACAAAAGAATCATTTGACAAGTTCTTGCTGTGACCCTCTGAGGGCTCCTTAGTTTTAACTAAAACATGATTAAAGGAGCAGTATGTAACTCTGACTCACTCTCTACACATCTCACTGACTGGTCCTTTAACTAAAGATGCAGTTTGACCTTTTTCTACCATGAGAGTTCAAACAATCGTCTCTCTGAGTCTCGTGCAGAAGTTTTGAGGGAACCAAAAGACTGAGGCGCTTCCCCTCACAGATTCTCATGTGACACGATCCACATCAGAGCAGCCTCTCTGACGTCGGCGTCCACCTCAGAGCCCACACCTGAAGTGCTGACATCGTAACTCAGGCAGCCGCTCTGCAGCTCAGAGGACGAGGAGGAGAGATGTATTTATGTAACTCAGTCAGCCACAATGTGCTGATTGTAGAGAAACGGCAGCCAATTAGAAACAGGATCCCACACCGCCATCAGAGCCGGAGCTGGACGAGTCTCTAAAAGAGCACTCACAGTTTCATGTGTGACACAGAGAGATGTTTAGTCTCACACATAATCGGGTCATTTTCTACTTCCACTGTTTATTTTCAGTCATTTGCTGCTCACATTTCCTCCTGGAAAGTTTGAGACAAACCAACAAACTGTTAATTATCCAAAACAATCAACACGATCGCTTGTTGTCTTTGGCCTCTTTGTTGTGTTTGTCTTTGCACATTTGACGTCCATGTTGATACACAGAGTCTCACGTGTTTAGTTTACTGTGAAGCGTTTTAGTAAAGGCGTTTAGAACACGTCACGTGAATCATTTCAAGTCCAAGAAACAAAAAACAGACTGAAGTTACGTGATGATTCTTCAGGTTTATCAGTTATAGAAACATCTTTTTATTTACTTTGAAAATAAAAGAAGACAAGTTTATCCTTCAGTTGTTGCAGATAACTCTGATGAGCCGTTACCATGGTTACCAAAGTATCTCACAGGAATCCTCTCACTCTCCTCTCCTCGTCTCTGCTCTCAGGTCTCCTAAGTCTCTGCTCTGCGTCGTTCCTGACGTCTCCATGTTCACCGACGTCTGGTGCTCTCTGCGACGCATCATCACCGTCCCGCTGTCTCTCCTCCGATTGGACGGCCTGATTTATCGCACGCACTTCAGCTTCACCTTCACCCCGGAGCTGCAGCCGCCGCACTCTGTCCGAGGAGCAGCGGGAGGAGGGAGGAGAGATGACGGGGTGGAGGGAGGAGCGGAGGACGACGTCCTGTTGGAGACAATCCACCAGGAGTTCACCAGAGCCAACTTCCACCTCTTCATGCAGACGTAGCTCACCTGATGGAGGCGAATTAAGAAAAAAAAAGACACCAGAACAGCTCGACATGTAAGCAGGAGACGCCAACAGAAAGTGGAATCTGTGCGGTGTCGTCCTGTTTGGTGAATCAGGATGTTTTTTTAACTCATCACATTTCAAGTATATCCGACGCTAAAGCCCCATGATCCTTAGTGTTTCCTGTTAACATTCATCAATATGCAAGTAGTATTCATTTGACTTTTTGATCCAGTAGTTGTCGCCCTTGAGCTCCAGCATAAAACCAAAACAAACTGCTGTTAGGCCACGCCTCCTCCATCCTGAAGCCTCCGCCCTCCACCAGCGACACACCTCCAACCCCCCTCCACTCGAGTTCGTACAAAGGAGTTTTAGCACAACCGGCGGACAAGATTGTCCTTTGCTTTAGCTGCAATCACCTGTGTCCTGCATTGTTGTGTTAGCATGCTAATTTTAGCGCTCTTTAGTTAGCTCGTAGCTTCACATTGTTGTGTTAGCATGCTAATGTTAGCGCTCTTTAGTTAGCTCGTAGCTTCACATTGTTGTGTTAGCATGCTAATGTTAGCGCTCTTTAGTTAGCTCGTAGCTTCACATTGTTGTGTTAGCATGCTAATGTTAGCGCTCTTTAGTTAGCTCGTAGCTTCACATTTCATGTAAACTGACACAGAATGAGCGTGATCTAAAAACTCTTACTAACATCCAAATAATCAGTGAGTATGTTCTTCTTCTTCTCTCTAGTTCTTGACTAAAACAGCTTTTATACACAAGGGGAGGAGCCGGCCGTCCCGTCCATGTAAACACGGCTCTGACAACAACACAGCCAGCGGGACTCGAGCTTCTCCCTCATTGTAGACAGTCATGACTCAGAGACACATTTACACAGGACAGACTTTATGATTTATTGATGTGGAACATGTTGAACATTCTTCCTTTTATCAACTTCAGCAAAGGATTTTTATTTACCTACATTGTGTAATGTGCTGAAATGCTCATTCAGATCTTTCAGTCTTTGCCGTCACAGACTGCTCAGTGAACGAGAGGGGAAAGGTTTTTAGAGGTGTCGAGTGTAAAGCTGGGGAGAGACGATTCCCTCCGACCAATCAGCGACCCGTCGTTAAGTGTCAGCTCATCTCTCTTTGAATCTCTTCACCAGATACTTTGTAGGTCTTCATGCAAGACGACATGCCCCGAGGTGTAGTCGAGGCTAACTGCATGTCGATGAAAAACATGTTGAGTCTCTGAGGCTTCCAGAGAGACGTTTAAACGACGTGTTCAGCGACACTGACAGCTGATAAAACAGTAGAGAGTGGAAATTAACTGCTAATGCCTTACAGAAAAGAAACAGAGAGCTATAGAGCCGCGAGCCGAGGGAGGAGACACAGCGTCTGCTTCCCGTTTGATCCTCGGAGAGGCGGCTTACAACTCAATATTCTGAGGAAAGACGGAGGCCCCGGCTGTAATCCGAGCGGTATTCCTCTCTGGGTGTAGCGTGCGTTTCTGAATGGCACTTTGTTATTCAACTGTAACTGTAATAATTCACGGGGTTCAGAAGTGAAAACAGGAACACGGGATACTCCCCGAGGATCTGAAAGGACTTTACCATCAGTGACGAGGTGATGTTGGACGCTTCAGGGGAGTTCAGTCGAGGTCAAATGATAAATGTTATCAAATTTATGAGTGTTTTTTTCCCGCTTAAAATCCATTGTGCCAATAAAAGCCATGTCTGAAAACGTTTCCCATAGGGCGAGATCGAGCAAGACCAAGACCATAGATATCTCTGAAAAATCATCATCTTGTGTTTAGGGGGCGTGTCCCTCACTTAGACCGTCACAGCGGGAAGGTTGCAGACGTAACCGGGGGATAAAAATCAAACTATAAATGAAGTGAAGTTATTTGTTGTTATAGAAAGAGGAGTTTTCCTTCTGATCACAGAGATGGTTCAGAGATTAGATCAGTGGTGGTCATTTAAAATCCAGAGTCCACCCAGTCCGAGACCAAGACAAGACCGAGTAAAAGTAATTTTGTCCTCCAGGCAGGCGGTCCAGGTTCGAATCCCACCTGTGGCTCCCCCCCCCCCCCCCCCCCCCTCTCTCCCTGGTGTCAGACTCTATCCAGCGTCTCTACATTAAACGCACAAAAAGCCCCAAAAATATATATTTGAGAAAAATGCTTTTGATTCCAAGACGAGACCGAGACCTTCAAAAAGTCGTCTGGAGACCGACTAGTGATGACCACACTCTGTAGACCCTGTTCCAGAACAAGCCCCTGGTCCAGTCCATTTCACACTTCCAGCCTGACCTGTGTTAACACTGTAAATAAAGTTTCTACTGTGTTTCCACATGTGCTGCATTTGGGTTCTTACACACAGCTTCAGAATAAGACGTTTGGATTTATTCTGTTCTGTGATCATTTGAGGAAACAGTCGGCGCTCCGGACCGGACTGATTAAAAAATCCTTTGGGATCAGGTCCAGGTCTTTGTCCTTCAGAGCTTTCATCTGTCTAACGTTAATCCAATTAATTAAAGTGTCTGGTAGCAGCGAGACTGAACAAACCAACAAAGCCGATGTCAGACGGCTCAGTTCTTCACCCCGTGTGTTTGATCTTTTGGAAGGAGTTGTGAGTTATTAAGCTCGTGGTGAAAAGCGAAACTAAAAAGCTCGTATTGTTCCGATCAAGTGAAGCGTGAGATAATCACAGAAGCGTGACGAGACCTCCCACGCGCGCTCTGTAGTAAACCTCGTCTCCTCATCCGCCGCATGCTTCTCATTCTTAACACGGCGACTCCTCATCCGCACAGACGGGACGCAGTGAGGCTTCAGTGAGCGTGTGACGGAGACGAGCAGGAGGAACGCCGTTAAAGTTCAGCCGTCACGACGAGTTTTAACCTCTGATATTATCTGAGTGTGTTGTGTGTGTGTGTGTGTGTGTGTGTGTGTGTGTGTGTCAGAGAGAAAATTATAATTTTGCAAGAATTTTTCAGGATATATTGAAGATCCTGAGGATCTCTCCAAAGTTTTTCAGGATCTCAGGATTCACAAAGGATTTTCTCTGAAGTGTCTCTGGGTCGACATAAACTGTTTCTTCTCTGCGTCTCTTCAGGGTGTTCGTCATTAAAACATCTTTATCCTCAGACGTTACAGACATTTTGAAATGTTTAATAAACTGTAATAATATTTGAGAGGCTTTGTGAATCACTTGAACAGGTTCAGCTTTTTTGTGGATCTGACCCTGAGAGAGAAAGATTTAAAGCACAGTTTCATATTGAAGGTGGTTCAAGTCTGATCCGACGCGGTGAACCTTGTGTTTCTGCTTAACAGTGAAAATAAAGTGTAAAGAGAGCGTGCTGCTATGACACAAAGCACTAAAACAAACCCACTGATTGTCACAAAGGATCTCCATCTTTGTATTGAGGCTTTGTGTTGTCAGAGTGGGATCTAATCAGGCTGATATCATAAACCAGATATAACAGCATCTCCTCTTTAAAATCTTAATCTGTGATGTTTCACCCTTAAATATAAATCAAGTCATCCTCTCCTACTCGAAATAAACTCTGATCCATGACTGTCTACAATGGGTGTAACACCCGAGTCCCACTGTCTGTGATGTTTTCAGAGTTTTCAGAGTCCTATCTTCACTTTGTTTACATCGCCAGGACCGGCCGGCTGAGCCTCCCCTCGTGTATAAAAGTTGTTAAATTGAGGGACTAGAGAAAAGAAGAATAACATACTGTACTCACTGCTTAACTGTGTTTCTAGATCACGCTCATTTCAGGTAAATTTACATGCAGTGTGAAGATACCAGCAGAATAAAGATCACTAGC